CACTATTTCTAGCTCTTATGCCTCCAAAACACAATGTTTCTTCCACAACTCAGTGTTTTGGAACATTGGGATGTGCAATTTACAAAGTGTCTATGATCGACGTCTACCCAGAATCTCAGAAACCAGACCATTTTCTCAATGCGCCCTCAAAGAACCACCACAGGAGCAACATCAAACACCGCGAACATCACGAAACATCATGAAACCATGGATTCAACATGTTGTACAGATATAATCATCTCTCGAGTCGTTCCATCGAGATTTTGGAACCTTATTTCCCAGCTTAGAGGCACATAGTACGAAGCCAGCGACCCAAAGGTGATTCATGTTGGCCTGGAAGACGACGAGGAGTTTTGCTTGGTGAAGCGGATACTGGGTAAAGGCCTGGGAAGTTTGACACCAGACAGAAGACTCAGACCTGTGACCCTGTGGTCGAAGTATTGGTGATTGGTGGACAACTGTGGGTAAGCAGACTGTCAAAAGATTTTCCAAGTTTCTCATCCTAAATTGGTCCGGGCAGGTGGTTACAACATGAAGAAGGTCGTAGCGAACTCGGATGCGAAGGTAGGCAATGGTGAGATGACTGGCCCTGATGTCATACAGGTAGCCGCTTGTACTACAGGTACCGTATCCACTAAAGAGCAGAGTTAGCAGTTAGACGTGTTGGCGGTTGCAATTATCCACTAATGGCCGCAGTCAAAGTCATGGTCAAAGCTTCATTGAGCATCATTTCAAGTGATTCCTTTTGGTTTCTTATTTTACAGGATATGTGCAGGCAAAGGCACCACAAATGTCTCCTTGCGACGTATGCTGGGTTTTCTTCTTGAAACAATTTGAAACACATTTTAGGCCAGTCCAACACTATCAAAGATAAACACCACATGTATTCATGTGTACACATGCATCTATACACTAAGTCACAATAGTTATAGAGTTTATAAGTACACTAGTATTCCAAAAGTGTTTCAGGTGCGGCTACGTGGCCGCGGCAGTGGCTTCCTGGAAGGACGCGAACAGGCAGCCGGTTGACAAACAGGCTGTGCTCCATGGGGATTTACCAGCAAACATGGATGATATTCAACCATTTGGAATTATCAATTTCAACTAGTTTTTATCATTTTATTGGGGATTGAGGATTGAATTGGAATTAAATGGGATATTAAGGGATGTAATGGGAATACATATATATATATATATAAATAAATGATATATACGTATACATACATCGTACGTACGTACGTACGTGCGTACGTACGTACGTACGATTACGTACGTACATATATATATATATACATGTTGGGGATAGAACTAACCAACTATGTTTTTTTGGGAATACAACTAATTAAAATCTTTTTTTTTGGGTATGTCTGAAACATACCTTCCACATGCCCGGCGGAAACTGATGATAAACCATCACATTTTGAGGCACCCTATTTTCAAACAACCCATTTGAGGTTGTGACACGGTTATAAGAAACTATATAAGTAGATGTCTAAACAATTCTTGTACTATTTTTTGTTCAAAGTTTTCTATCATTCATTCTCAAATCTGAGGGTTGTTGACTACAAATAGAACCCAACAATAGTGGGATAGAGATCATCATCAAATCTCCCCTAAGTCTTGTTTCACATACTGTACTTGAGATCAATCGCCGCAGTTGAGTTGTAATTTTTGAAAAATACGGATCATGACCCAGCTTCCTTATGGGTGGTAATTGACCATACAATATCATATGAGGCTTCAATGTTTTGAATGCGTCACCATGCGTCACCCATGGCTGTTTGCAACCCATGAATTCAAGATATTACCACGGTTACATACGGTTACCACGGTGCGGAAGAAACAGCATGATCCTTCTTGGCTAGGTTGAGATGGACGCGCCCCTGCAGCTACACCTGTCTTGCTGGGCATCTGGGCGACAGCACATCCTTGGATGTTGCTTAATTGACAGAGTATGGTTTAGAAAGTTTAGAAAGTTTAGAATAGAAGTACCATGAAGTACCCTTTTTACATCTTTTTACCAGGTGTACTGGTTTTGCCCACTGGGCATAATGGAGCACACCAAGAAAATCGCTCACAGCATGTGGTCTCTGTACTGTTTCTCCACTCTCTCTATCTCTCTCTCGCTCGATTCTAAGATGCTCAGCGATGGATAGTGCCAAGTAGGCCTATCTTAGACTGAATGATTATATGAATTTATATGATCAACTCAGACGGTAAATGGATCAGCGGCAGATGAGGCGTTCAGCACATACTGTGCTGCCTTTGTATCTTGGCTGAAGGATCTGACGAACATGGCGACATGATGTAGACCTTGCATGCATAGGGTTTTCTTTGTGCGAAGGTTCGACAAGATACAGGAAATAGTTTTTTGGCATCCTCTAGTGGATTGAATGTCTGTTGATTCGGATGTGAAGCGCCTTTCCAAGCAGGGCGCTCTGAAATAGCTGGCTAGAGTACCGCTCAGTCAGGTGTAGTCCAACAGCTTCCAAATTGGCTAAAGTTTAATTGAGGAGAGCCATTCGCGGTGTAGGAAGCAAGACTAATGAATATATTGACGGAATATTTCCCAAATTCATATGTATACAACAGTATCAATGACATAATGAGGTTTGTCACAAACGAGACTTGATTGTGTCCAATGCATGTTTCTTTTGGTAAGATGAGATGCTTGGTTGAGTAGAATGATGTCTGATTCAAATGGATCGTCATGCTTCCACTGGTCCTCAGCCAAGGTTGACCTCTATGACCAAATGAAGCAGCTTCACAAGCACTACCGCCGCTACTGTAGGTCCAAGGGAATGGTGGCTCGTGAGGACTTAGAGGCGCCATCACGTTGAAGCATTTCTTGTGTGGCCCAGCAAAGAATTAGCACTGAAGCATGGCTAACAGGCTATGTTGACATATCATATGCTAACATGTTGTGACATGGCTGAAGTCAAAGCCCAATGGCCATGAATAATGGATAATTAATCATGGCATATCATGAGTTGCAAAGTAATGGCCATGAATGGCCCAATGGCATCCAATGGCCATTCTTGGGCCGTTCGTCAGGTGCGCTTCGAGGAGCTGCGTCGCGCGGACCGTGGCCTGGACTTCCGTTCTGAGGCTTCGGCGCCGAACGCACACTTCTCCAGGCTGGAGATGACATGAGATAAATTGAGATACCAACATCCACCAACCCATGGCCCATGTTATGGTGTTTCAATGTGTTTCAATGTGTTTCATGGCAGGGATGTACTCCAATTTCCTTGGCAGGATAAAAGATCTGCAGAGACCTGAAGATCTGCAGAGACCTGAAGATCTGCAGAGACCAACTCAAGATTTGCAGAGACCAACTCGAACAGTGAAGATCAGCTCAGAGACAGAGGCAGGCTGGTGCTGTTGATGAGACAGGCACAAACTGCACAAACTGCTGCCTGTGCCCTTTGATTGTAACATATTGTAACCATGGCTTTAGTCTTTGATTTTGACTGGTGCTTGGGGTTGACTGGGAAATGGTGAAGAACAGCTCTGGTTCCCAGAGTGATGTGTTTGATAAAATTGTTTCTCTTCTTTCTTCTGTTTCCTGCTTTTTTTTTCCAAAGTCTACAGCATTTTAAGCATCGCTCCTAATCTTCCGAGAGCCTTGGTGTTTGAAAATAAACAGTCGGGGCCAGGGCTGTGGTGTGTTGGATGTATGACGTGTCACCGCAATTTCATCGATGATGCCAAATGCTCCAAGAATCAAGGATCCTGAACAGTTTCAAGAAAAGACGCATTGTCGAATTTGTTCTGAGATTTGTCATTGCCCCTCATCCTTGTATCGATGTGGAAAGCCTGCGGCAGGTGACCTTGCCAGTAGGGTGTCATCCATCAGGCCACTGGGTTGGGATATGTTGGGATGAGTCTCTCCATCCCATTTGCAACTGAGACAACTGAGACCTCAGGAATGCATCCCAGGAGTGCCCCTGGAGCCCATGAAAAAGAGATCGGAGGCGGGAGATGTGCAGCTGCCAGTCTTGATTTCCAGCACCTAGAACTCCAACCGGTGTCTTCCTTTAAGTAATGCTTAAGTCATCTTAAGTATATAATTATATATAATTATATAATGCAAGAGAGCAGCTTTGTGATGTGGATACTGCATATGTGACCTATTCACAGCTATTCTGTTGACCCAAGTCCCGTCCCTGTGCATTGGCTAAAGAGCCCAGGACATCTTACAGACTTGCAGTTGTCGTGGGGTTTGCTGAAGAACATTGAGTCGGCCATGTGAATCACGGCAAACTCACAAGAGTCGTGCATGAATCATACAGACATCGAATGGATGAATCCTTGCAGCATAGGAGGTATGTTATGGATTATACATCCTGGTTATCATACAATATATTAATATACGTATTATATATATATACATATATATATATATATATGTGGCAGGGACCTTTTGGTATAATGCGACCGTCCTCCTTTCTGATCCCATTTGTTTCCATACTTGTCTCCTTGTCTGTTCCCAACTTGTCTCCTTATTTCTCTATCTCCATTGCGATTCTTCTCTCTGGGTGCTTTCGGTCAAAGGAATCTCCTTGTCTCCCGTTCCTCACTTCTCTCTCCATTGCTCAGTGTTCTTCGTTCTGGTGGTTTGGGGACAGGACTCAAGTCCCATCTGTTTTCGTACTCGTGTCTCTACTTCACTCTCATATGTGGCTGTTCTCTCTGGGTGCTTCCGGGGCACAGTATGCTCCTTGTCCTCTGTCTGTCTCCGTGCTTGTCCCCCTTGTTCTCTCCAACTCATGCCCTTACTTCTCTCTCTCTCTCTTGCTGTTCTTCTCTCTAGGTGCTTATTTGGACACATGATTCTCTCCGGTTCCTCACTTGCCCTTTCTTGTTCCCTCCAACGTGTATCCTTAATCCCCTCCCCATTGCTGCTGCTGGGGGAAGAATGGATTTCCTGGCCTCTTGTGTTTCTCCCTGCCTTTTTTCCTTTGTTCAGGTCACATTCCCTTACCCTCAGTCTCTACCACGTGTTACCCTACTTACCTTCCTACTTGTCTCCAACTTGTCTCCTTATCCTCTCTCCACTACCGTGCTTCTTTCCAGGTCTCCGGCATTTGGGACGGAGAGGATAGTTTTTCTCCTCTTTCCTTTCTTTCCTTCCTTGTCCCTGTAGTCTTTCCCAGCGCTTTCTTCACTTCTCTCCTCATTCCTGTTGTTCTCGCTTTTGGGACCCAAGATTCCCCTTGTCTCCCATGTGTTCCCATCTGTGTCCTTATTTAGCCAATTTTTTCCTACTTGCTGTTTTGTCTAGGCTTTAGGACCTCTTCATTTCTTTTTGTCCCTCCCTGTTACTGTTCTTCTTCCTGGGTGCTTCTGGGCACAGGATACTCTTCGTGGTGCTCGATGGCAAAGGATTCTTCTTGCCTCCCATTTGTTTCCATACTTGTCTCCTTGTCTGTTCCCAACTTGTCTCCTTACTTCTCTATCTCCATTGCGATTCTTCTCTCTGGGTGCTTTCGGTCAAAGGAATCTCCTTGTCTCCCGTTCCTCACTTCTCTCTCCATTGCTCAGTGTTCTTCGTTCTGGTGGCTTTGGGGACAGGACTCAAGTCCCATCTGTTTTCGTACTCGTCTCTCTACTTCACTCTCACATGTGGCTGTTCTCTCTGGGTGCTTCCGGGGCACAGTATGCTCCTTGTCCTCTGTCTGTCTCCGTGCTTGTCCCCCTTGTTCTCTCCAACTCGTGCCCTTACTTCTCTCTCTCTCTCTCTCTTGCTGTTCTTCTCTCTAGGTGCTTATTTGGACACATGATTCTCTCTGGTTCCTAACTTGTCCTCCCTTGTCCTCCCTTGTTCCCTCCAACGTGTATCCTTAATTCCCTCCTCATTGCTGCGGCTGCTTGGGAAAGAACGGATTTCCTGGCCTCTTGTGTCTCTCCTTAACTTTTCTTCCTTTGTTCAGGTCACATTCCCTTACCCTCGGTCTCTACCACATGTTACCCTACTTACCTTCCTACTTGTCTCCAACTTGTCTCCGTATTCTCTCTCCACTACCGTGCTTCTTTCCAGGTCTCCGGCATTTGGGAGGGAGAGGATAGTTTTTCTCCTCTTTCCTTTCTTTCCTTCCTTGTCCCTGTAGTCTTTCCCAGCGCTTTCTTCACTTCTCTCCTCATTCCTGTTGTTCTCGCTTTTGGGACCCAAGATTCCCCTTGTCTCCCATGTGTTCCCATCTGTGTCCTTATTCAGCCAATTTTTTCCTACTTGCTGTGTGGTCTAGGCTTTAGGACCTTCAGGTGGTTTTGGGGGCCATAAACATTACCGAGTCCCTCATTCGTGTCCCTTCCGTCACCGCCTTCTTGCAGTCTCCTCTCTTCATTTCTTTTTGTCCCTCCCTGTTACTGTTCTTCTTCCTGGGTGCTTCTGGGCACAGGATACTCTTCGTGGTGCTCGATGGCAAAGGATTCTTCTTGCCTCCCATTTGTTTCCATACTTGTCTCCTTGTCTGTTCCCAACTTGTCTCCTTACTTCTCTATCTCCATTGCGATTCTTCTCTCTGGGTGCTTTCGGTCAAAGGAATCTCCTTGTCTCCCGTTCCTCACTTCTCTCTCCATTGCTCAGTGTTCTTCGTTCTGGTGGCTTTGGGGACAGGACTCAAGTCCCATCTGTTTTCGTACTCGTCTCTCTACTTCACTCTCACATGTGGCTGTTCTCTCTGGGTGCTTCCGGGGCACAGTATGCTCCTTGTCCTCTGTCTGTCTCCGTGCTTGTCCCCCTTGTTCTCTCCAACTCGTGCCCTTACTTCTCTCTCTCTCTCTCTCTTGCTGTTCTTCTCTCTAGGTGCTTATTTGGACACATGATTCTCTCTGGTTCCTAACTTGTCCTCCCTTGTCCTCCCTTGTTCCCTCCAACGTGTATCCTTAATTCCCTCCTCATTGCTGCGGCTGCTTGGGAAAGAACGGATTTCCTGGCCTCTTGTGTTTCTCCTTAACTTTTCTTCCTTTGTTCAGGTCACATTCCCTTACCCTCGGTCTCTACCACATGTTACCCTACTTACCTTCCTACGTGTCTCCAACTTGTCTCCGTATTCTCTCTCCACTACCGTGCTTCTTTCCAGGTCTCCAGCATTTGGGAGGGAGAGGATAGTTTTTCTCCTCTTTCCTTTCTTTCCTTCCTTGTCCCTGTGGTCTTTCCCAGCGCTTTCTTCACTTCTTTCCTCATTCCTGTTGTTCTCGCTTTTGGGACCCAAGATTCCCCTTGTCTCCAATGTGTTCCCATCTGTGTCCTTATTCAGCCAATTTTTTCCTACTTGCTGTTTTGTCTAGGCTTTAGGACCTTTTCATTTCTTTTTGTCCCTCCCTGTTACTGTTCTTCTTCCTGGGTGCTTCTGGGCACAGGATACTCTTCGTGGTGCTCGATGGCAAAGGATTCTTCTTGCCTCCCATTTGTTTCCATACTTGTCTCCTTGTCTGTTCCCAACTTGTCTCCTTACTTCTCTATCTCCATTGCGATTCTTCTCTCTGGGTGCTTTCGGTCAAAGGAATCTCCTTGTCTCCCGTTCCTCACTTCTCTCTCCATTGCTCAGTGTTCTTCGTTCTGGTGGCTTTGGGGACAGGACTCAAGTCCCATCTGTTTTCGTACTCGTCTCTCTACTTCACTCTCACATGTGGCTGTTCTCTCTGGGTGCTTCCGGGGCACAGTATGCTCCTTGTCCTCTGTCTGTCTCCGTGCTTGTCCCCCTTGTTCTCTCCAACTCGTGCCCTTACCCTCTCTCTCTCTCTCTCTCTCTTGCTGTTCTTCTCTCTAGGTGCTTATTTGGACACATGATTCTCTCCGGTTCCTCACTTGCCCTGTTCTTGTTCCCTCCAACGTGTATCCTTGATTCCCTCCTCATTGCTGCTGCTGCTTGGAGAAGAATGGATTTCCTGGCCTCTTGTGTTTCTCCTTAACTTTTCTTCCTTTGTTCAGGTCACATTCCCTTACCCTCAGTCTCTACCACGTGTTACCCTACTTACCTTCCTACTTGTCTCCAACTTGTCTCCTTATTCTCTCTCCACTACCGCGCTTCTTTCCAGGTCTCCGGCATTTGGGAGGGAGAGGATAATTTTTCTCCTCTTTCCTTTCTTTCCTTCCTTGTCCCTGTAGTCTTTCCCAGCGCTTTCTTCACTTCTCTCCTCATTCC